TCTTTTCAGACCAACAACTACTGATACCAAGTGCTCTGAGTTTAGGCCTAGGCCTGTGACTAACTTCCAACAAAAAGTGGGACATACTGGACGCCAGGGTTACCCACGACCACTGCTGGACGCCAGGGTTACCCACAACCACTGCTGGAAGGATCACTCTTTCCCTTTTTAACATCAGTGGGCTTGTTTTTCCTCCCCCCTTCTTTTCTGCCTCTCCTTTTTGCGTGTGTTGCATAGAAACAGAAAGTGCCTTTGTACCAATTACTAGGCATTAATTTACGCTCCTCCGTGGGTGCTGGGCTTGCTGGAGAAATACTAGGGAAGAGTGGGAGGGTGATGTGGGGGAGGTTTCTAGCTGTAAGTCCCCCCCCCCCATCCCTGAGAATAGATAAGGCAAGAGAGAAAATAAAAACCAGCCTGAGAAACACAACAGGCCCTGTGTTGTTTTTCAATACCAGCAATGCTAATGATCGTTAGACATCCAGAAACCAGGCTGAAAGCAGGTTCCAAAGCAGAGCTGGTCCTGTGGTTTTAGGGGCTGCTGAGAGAGAGCTCAGGAATCATCTGCCCACTTTCCCCCTCAATGAACTTATTAGGGAAGACCTCCACCAGCCACTTTCCCAATATGTCCTCTGATGTTTCTCCCTGGGAAGTTCACTTTGGGAGTTTTCCACAGAGACTGCAAAATGACTGGTTTTTGGGATAAGCATCAACAACTCCGGAATGGAGCCCTAAGAGAGTCCACTTGCCTCCTGTTTAGACCATTGTGCAATGGAGTGCCACCATCCAGAGGACCCTGTTTCCTCTGGTGCCTCCCTTCTCCAACTCCGGGCGCACTCACACTCTGAGAGGGAAACCAAGGAAACACCCATGTGCTTGGTAATTGTGCCCCATTTACATTTCATGCTGTGAATCGAGGATCCTTGCCAGCTTCACAAGAAGCTTGGGAGGCTACCCTGCTTTAGTCTGTGCTAGGTCGAGGAGATGGGGCAAGTAAGAGACGGAGGAGGACTCCTTCATTTAACTGGTTCTTGAAGAAGTCTCCCAGAACAAGAGTCACCACGGTGGGTCTCCATCTCAAAGGCCACCTTGTCTGGAATTCACTAGCAAACCTACAAGAACCCAACAAACTCGGGAACCCATCTTCCTAGGGGCAAACTGCATGTGGCCCTGTGCTTGCTTCTCTGCAATGTATTGCTATTTCTCCACACAGGGCACTTGAAAGTGGGTCTAGACATTCTCACTGGGTGGGTGGGAGAACGCCATCCCCTGGTAGGCAAAACTCTTTAATGGAAACAGTCTTAGATATCTGAATGATTTGTGGCCTTCTAAAAGGACACAGTCCCTAAGTAGCTCTATAATTTATGCTCTCAGTGTTAAGAAACCATAGAGTATAGGTGGGCATTTGTAAAATATGGTCTCAAGTCATCTCTTCACCACTCAGGCAGGGTTAGTTGTAAATATACCCAGGAAGGATGCAGTTTATGAAATACTATCCGCATCAGTGTGGGGAGAAAGAGGCCAGAAAAGAATAGAGGCAGAGAGCACACCTTAAGGACCAGAGCACAGGGTTTTCTTGTGCTCATACAGGAGAAAATGGTGGTGGGGGATGGGGTGGCACATGCCTTTAATCCCAGCCCTCAGGAGGCAGAGGCAGGCAGATCTCTGTCTACAGAGTGAGTTCCAGGACAGGCTCCAAAGCTACACAGAAAAAAAAAAAAAAAAAAAAAAAAAACCTGTCTCAAAAGGCCAAAACAGAGGAGAAAGTGATAAGGTCCAGGTGACAACACTTAAGCCACTAAGTCTAGGATGTGGTACCATAGATAGAGCTGATGCTGGCCTTGAAATCCTGCCTTTGGGTGCTAAGAGCTGAACTCAGGGCCTTGGGCATGCTAAGCATGCACTTTGCCACTGAGCACCTCTAGCCCCTGTAAACAGCTTCACATCACATTTCTTTGTTTGAGACAGGGTGACTCTGTAGCCCTGGCTACAGCCCTGGCCTGTAACTTGCTATGCCTCTGTCTCCTAAGAGCTAGAATTAAAGGCATGTGCTACCACATCCAGCCATATCATACTTAGAACGACATTAAACTCTCAAACAGGTGACTCCAAAGCCACACAGAACACTGACAGCCAGAGTGCAAACTTCCCCACCTGAGTTAGAATTGGCCAGCATAGGCATTCCTAAGGAGACCAAACATTCTATTCCAAAATTGGAGGAAGGCTTCTGTTATGGATGCTATGCCAGTCCCTTCTGCCAGACACTGAGCATCCAAGGGAAAAATGTAAGTCTGGTATACATGCCAGTAACCTCAATATTTGAGAGGTGGGGGGCAGAGATGGTCAGGAATCTCTCAAATTCAATCCAGTTCGGCTAATTCAAAAAGACCCTGTCTCCAAAAACCCAAAATAAAAATAAATAAATAAGGTCCACCCAATATAAAGCAGTTCCAACCAATTGTTGCTAGGCAAGGATCCGGACCCACTCCCTATTTGCCAGATCTTCTGATTTTTCCAGAGAACTAGAAATCTGGCCTTATGCCAGAATCCTGATTTTTAGATGCTGGTAACTAATGAAATTTTTATAAACTCTGTGCCGTCCACAGCGAACAAATCTATGCAAAGCAAATTCTGCAGCAGCCTACTCCAGTTTTCAAACCCCAAATTATGAAGACCTGCTAGGGTTGGAGTAAAACCACAAACCAGATCCTAGTTTGGCCACCTCAACTGTGTCCTTCCCTGGGTCACCATGGAAGGAGCTCCACTGAATTAAATAAAACACTTTTTGAGATGATTCAACTTCCAAAGCTGCTGGCGTATGGCAGCAGAGCTGTTCAGGGCTCTATAAGGAAGTGAGCAAGCAGGGGGGGGGGGGATTCTCCAGGGAATGAGTTGAGTGTACTGAACTCGGGGGGTGTGGCAGGGACTTCAGCTCTTAAGATTTTCACAGAACGCAGATGATCCAAGGCTGTCTCCATGCACCTTCAGGATTTAAGAACCGGTGGAAATAAAATCAGGAAGCTCCTTAGCTCCTTACCCCACCCAACCATGATCTAACCTGAAGCTGCTGCTTGAGAATCCAGGCGCCTAAAACTCAGCTTGGCATGTGCCTCCTCATCAGTACACTCTGGGCAGGATCTGTGGAGGCTAGAGGTTTTGTCCACACTAGCAGGACAGAGAGTCCTTCACCCCCATACCCCGTATCCCTGCTCCCCCAAACATAAATAAGAACCCTGCAATCACCACACCACTAGAACCAAAAAAATGAACAGTAGCATTTAAAATGGAAAGAGTATTTGCTTCACTTCCTGTGATCTGTGTGAAGGCTTCTCCCGAAACAGCTGAGCTGATGTGCCTTATGGAGAATTAAGGAGCAGCATGCATGCCCGCACACATAAGCAGCCATTTCTATAAATGCCCGAGAAAAGCACTCAGCCGAAATGGCCCAGAACGCTAGGTATCTACTGCTGAGCCACACAGGCACTGTGGGCCTCCCCACTTACACCACTGGGCAGCCCTCCTGAAGGAGAAAATGCCTTTGCTCAAGGTGGCAGTGGGTGTCCATGTAAGCAACTGAACCCTGGGAACATGGCTGACATGGCTGGCCCGCCCAGCAGCTGTGGTGAGTAACAAGCTGAGTTAATATACCACTCTTCACCTCCCCGAGCCCTACTAAAGGTCACACCCCTCACTGAGGGTACAGGCCTGTCTAACTGCCTTATAGATTCAAACTTTCAAAGGTGCTGTTTCATTTGGCAACCTAGATGTGGACCCCAAGGGCACCTGTTTTCATTATCACTAGGAAATTTAGATTTATATGGGTGCTGGCAGCCACCTCCAAGAGACTTCTTTTTACAAAGGAAATAAATAGGAGGTGGTTACATACTACTCCTTTAAAAGGCAAACAAAGCCGAAAACCCCAACAAGAGTACCATTTTGAAACCAAAGGTTCAGGATTTTCTTCTACAAAATATCAAACCTTCACACCAAAACGTCTCTACGTCTTCCCCTACAATGCCAACAATTTCTAAAACATGCTGTCTCAGGGCAGAAGGGACAGGCCTGCTGCGTGACCATAACAGACAGCCGTTACAAATGACCCTTCCCAAGCTAATCAGACAGCACGCCCACATGTGAATGCTTTCCAACGTTTCCCGTACATGTGTAATTAAAACAACCAGAGCCAGTTGACCAAGGTCCTTCTAAGTCCCTAAAGCCCATTCCACATAGCTGGTGTCTTTACAGCCATGTTGGTGTGTGCTGCTTGGCCTACAGCTAGCAGAAGCACCCCACATTCACCCCCCCCCTAGGCCTTGAATTCCAGCAAGGACCACACCTCTCTAGGTAGGGTTCAGGCATGCTACCTAATTAGTTACATGGGGACAGATCAGCACTGAATCACGTCCCTTAGGAAGGCTAACTTAGTCAAGAAGTTAATCCACCAACCACTCCTTCATCGGTCTCCCCTGCAGCCTGAAGCAGTTTTATTTTAAACCTCTCAGGGGACTCTTGGCCAAATTTAAAACCACCTTGGCAAGCCCTGAAAAAAGTAGCCGCCATTTAGCTAAATGAGTCCTTAGTCATCCCTAAAAGGATTCACACAGAGTGTGGCTTCCCCCCATGCCGCGACCCCTCCGCTGCAACCCCACCAGGGAAATGGAATAAAAGCTGCGCCATCTGACTGCCCGCCGCCAGCGTCTCCCCAGGTGGGGCGGCCCCGCAGCAGCAGGGTGCGGAGTCCTGGGGGCGGGGCGGGCAAGGGAGGGGCGGGCCCGCTCCCAGCCAAGCCACGCAAAGCCACTCTTTCAACCCGCCGGTTTGGGGCTCCGGGTGGCTCCTAAAGGTTGGGGCCAAGTAAGGAGAGGGTGCAAGAGTTAAACAGCATCTTCTCCAATATGTTTGCAGCCTCTAGGCCGAGTGCGGAGTCCTGGGCACCCAGTAACGCTGGCCGGCCAAAGGTTAGCTAAGCCCGGAGCGGGGGAAGAGGCGACGCCGCTAACCTGTATGCACTCTGTAATGGGCTTTTAGATGGGAGGATTTTCCATAGACTTTCCCACAGCCACTGTAGGGGCACTTGTGCCTCTTTTCGGAGGCGTGTTTCCCCTTCGCAGCCACTCCAGAGTGGAGGAGGGAGAGCGGGCTGGGCGTGTTGCCAGAATCCTGTCTCTCCTCCGGGCTGTGGGAAGGACTCGACCCAGATTCAGTGGTCACGTCGCTGTCGGATCCTATATCCTCATCGGGACTCTCCAGACTGTCGCTGCACACCGAGGGGGTCTGGATGGGTCGGTACTTGTTCAGGTCCAACAAGCTCTTGGCGATGGTGACCAGTGTGCAATAATCCTTCCAGGTGTCCCCCGGGTCACCGTGCTCCTTGGTCACCTCGCGCTCAGGTAGTCTCAGCCGCTCGGCGTCCGGAGCGCCCCCATGTTCTGGCACCGCGGTGCGGTTGGAGATAGAAACCAGACACTGGGCAGCCACGAAGTCCATGTAGGCGGCCGCGGACATGGTGCGGGCGACGGCACCCCGGGCGGTGCGGCCAAACTCGACGGTGGCTGCGGAGCTTCGGCTCGCCCTGCCCTGGCCTCGGACGACGAGCGCGGTGCGGCGAGGCCGAGGGGGCGGGGGCGCGGGAGCTTGCGACTCGCGGGAGCGCCGAGGCGACCTCAGCCCCTCATCTTTACGTAACCGGCTGCGCCTCCGCACGCAGCAGCCGCGGCCGGCTCCGCCGCTGTCGCCGCCGCCCTGCCCGGCGCCCCGCGCGATCCCCCGACGGGCGCGCCCTCCTCCTGAGCCGCCTCCTTGGAGAGATGCCACACGTGGCGGTCGCAAGTTTATTCGACTGCAAACGCGTCCGAGTCGCCGGGACAGGCAAATGCGAGCCAGGCGCACGCCCTCGGCTGCCTCTCCGCCGAGCTCACGCCCCGGGGCATCAGCCGAGTACACCGACGCGGGGGGCGGGGGCCGAGCGAGGTGCCGCGCCTACAAGACACTTCTTCGCACGTCCGCCGACGGCCACCGAGCCCCTGGTCCTGCCGCGCCGCGCCGCTCCGGCATTCTCCAGCTCAGTAACAATTTCGCAGAATCCCATCACGTCACAATCCAGGCCCCCTCCAATTGGCCAGTGGGGAGGGTGATTCAACTCTGTTTACTTTCTCCCCCTGCCAGTCAGAAGGGCCCTTCGGTGGAGAGGTGCGTCTAGAACTACAGCGCGCGGCCAATCCGACCGTTCCGTTCCGCCGCCGCGTGCTGCCCCTCCAGCCCCGGAACGCTGACATTTAAAAGGGAAACTGTTCGGAGACGAGCGGCGCATCCCCGCGGATGCCGCCCGGTCCGCGCGCTCGCCCACGCCTCCCGGCCCACGTGCCAGCTGGCGTGGCTTGGAGACGTATCTCCCCCAGGCGGTTACACCCGTCCCTAGGGACGAAACAGAACTTCAGCTTCGGGTTTCCAGCTTTCAAACAGTTAAGTGACTTCCTGCAAACGCTACAGTCCCAGCAACCAGCCTTCCAATCAAAAGTAAGTTGGTTGATGTCACTGGCATTGGCTCAGCCAATCAGAAGGGCGTTCCGAAAGCAAGCGCTCGACACTTGTAAACCTGCGGGGCTGTAGTGAAACTGGACATATCTTTACATTTTGGGTTGCTGGTGGTAACCCTGAAATATAGATGGGAGTACGGGGTGATTAATAAGTGCAGTGTGACTCTATAACTTTAAACAAACCCTCAATATGGCAGGCCACATTGCCCAAGGACAAACTCTGAGGAGACAGCATCAATTCGTTCCTGTTTGAATTGCAGCACTTTGAGGATGGTTAAAAGTTCTTCCATCCCACACATAAACTATGAGAAATTCATCGAAAACATTCACAGCTAACAAAACATCTGGTTCCAGAATCTTGCACAGAAGCACCATATCTCGGTATTTTGCTATACCCCAATGTTTCTTCTGCCCCACGTGCCATCTTAATCCGAGGAAAGCCTTCGAAAGCCCTCATTTGCATAACTTTAAAAACCCTTTTCAGGGACTATTCCCAATTCCTGCCTGGTACATTTCCTTCCCCTTGCTTTGCAAATGTTGGAAGAACAAGACTTTTCTAACCTTATCAGGTAGATAGTAGCGGGACTCAGTAGAAACCACAGGGTTCCTGATTCCCAAGTCTGCTTTAGAAGAACCAAGTCCCGGTGAAATATTAACTAACTAAATGGATTCTTAAGAACTGGAATCAGCCAGAAATCCTTACCAACTGAACCTGTGGCATTACTTGATCAACAATTAGTGTGGGTTTGTCATGAATGCTGGGGTTGTTTTCCATCTTGATAGCTGAGCAAAGAATCTAATGCCAATAGCCCTAGCAGGGGCATACGGTCAGGGGCACTACTGATTCAAAATGCATCCACTTATCCTGAGTATGAAAGGCTCTTGTCTCTATGAGATGCTAATTTCACAATATCCAATCCTGCCTCCCACTACTGATTAACCTTTAATGTTTGGGATGGTTCCACAGCGTTCTTCTGGGTCTCAGATGAATCCTTCCAGTTTGAAGCATAGGGTAAATTATTTTGATTTTTAAAGTGATGTAGGAAAGACACCACCCAAGGTTATTTCCTGGGAAAGGAACATGTAGAGAGGAGGGCTGACCTGTGGAGAATTACCACCATGATCGCATCAGTATCCAACCCCAGAGAACATGGAGACTTGCTCTGTGCCAGGCCCAGGCTCAATTTATCCTCATGGACACTTGTAGTAACTATGTGAGGTTAAGTAAAAGTTTAGCACACTATGTAACACGGAAGCCATCTTCGATTTTTTCTTTTTCTTTTCTTTCTTTTTTCTTTTTTTTTTCATTCTAAAAACCTTACTTTCAGGAAAGAATTCACAGAAGCTGGCCAAGATGGTGTACACTTGAAGTTCCAGTAGTTAGGAGGATGGAGCATTTGAGGAGGCCAGCCTGGCGGTCGCCTGGGCTACAGAAGGAGATCCTGTCTCAAAAAGAAAGGGAAAGGAAGGGACAGAGGGAGGAGGGATTGATTCTGCCTAATTTGTGATCATTCTTTTCTAGAATAGATGCTGTCCCTAGGATACAGATTCTTGGAATTTGCACCTCTACCTGACTCCTGGGCACAGCACAGACAACCAGAGGATTTCTCCAGGAGCCCCCTGATCAAGGCCTCCCAGACCTGTGTTTTCACTGGCATGAGTTACACTCATGATAATCTCTGACCTAGGTCTGAGCGGCTACCAAGAACTAAGATTAACATCCGAATTATTCTCAGAAAAGAAAAAAAAAAAAAAAAACCCTGCATCTTTCCTTAAAGATTATGATTCTAAATTTGAATATAGTAACTTCAGGATTTTTTTCCCTATATGTATAAACTTTAACTTCCCTTACTTCTTGTGGCCTTCTCTTTAGTGCCCTTTAATTTCATGTGGTTTAGACCAAGTTTTCTGATACCCTCAATTCAGTTATGAAGAAGATCAAGAAGGCAGATTCCATCTGTGTGAGTTTCTCTTATAGATTTGTCACTTGATTTAGAGAATGGTCTCAAATCCAGCAAATCTAGCACTGTACAGCATGCTCTCCTTTCCCTACCATTCATCCTCAGACAGCTTTGTTCTTGGCAGAGAGGTAGACATGAGGACAGAAATGCAAAGGGAGTCTGCCCTAGATGAGTGCTACATGTTAAAAACATACATGTGTTTAATGACATATAGCACAAGAGATAGTAATTCCTGCGTCATGATTTTTCCTTGTATTTCTCAACAATATTTTCCTCGCTGTGTTGGAATGTACTGTAATAGTTTCATGACTAAAACCAGCTTATGTTATTTAGCCAGAATGCCGTTGTCTCAAAATTTGGTAAATTACCCCATTAATATTATGCCACATAAAAATAAGAGGTTTGCTTTCCCAAGTTAGTCTTTATTACATTTCTACTCCAAATACCCCCACCCAAAGGAACATTAGAATTCGAAGATTGTAATTTTATATTGATTACCTCTCTGCATTCTTCCTAAGCTTTGTTTTATTATTCAAGTTTTCAAGGCTATGGCTCATAATCCTGATGCCAGAACAATGAGTCTCGTTTCCAGCGCTTCCTAAAATAATTATCATTAAATTATCTAGTACAAAGTAGTGCCTGAAGGTGATAGGCCTCTTGGGCCTAAGATGAGATCTGTGACCTCACCCAACCTCCCTGAGCCATTTCCTTATCTGTAGATTGATAGGATTAGAATAATACAGTTGCACAGACTCTTTCAAACTCCTGCCGTGCAGGCATCTTTAAAAATTCCAAAAGGCCAGGTTGGGGTGTGGAAGGACACACCTGTAATCCCAGTACTAGGGAAGAAAAGGAGGGGAAATTGTGGGTTACAGGCCTGAGTAGGCAGCAGGAGACTCTCAAAAATCTTGGGGCAGGGGCCACTAGAGTAAGATTTGATCTCTCAGAACATTACCATGTCTATTTACAGCACATGTTACAGCAGTATGGGTTGGAGAAACTTAGGTCTGGTACTTAATGAGAAGACTTTTTTTTTTTTAATTACTCTTTTTCGAAAACAGGGTCTAGGCTAGCCTCCAGCTCTAACACCTCCCAAAAGCTAGAGATAACATACTTTTTTCCCCTAATTTCATAACCTCACCTCCACCCACTTCTCTCATTGGTCTATAGGAAGTGGCCTGGAGGCTTAGAATCTGTCCTTTTTCCTAGGTAAGCCCCAGGAAGATATTTTCAGGCTAATGCTGCTGATTCCTCCCTGGAGATTTATTTAGACCCAAGCCGGGCTTCCCCATCTTGATGGGTGGGGTCAATCACCTGGCATTCTGTTTAAAACACAGATGGCCCGGTATCATCCCTGCTCTATGACCGAAGTTCAGCCTAAAGTCACATGCTGTAGATACAGGGTTCTGCCGATTCTGGCTTTTAGCAGTCTTTTCCTGCTGAGAGGCGTGGACTGTGCCTGGACAGAGTTTGCCAGCCTCCCGGCGGGAAGGAAGAAGAACAGATGGCCCGCTGGGGGTAGGGGATCACGTGTCAGACCTCACATTGGGCAGGATCCACACCCCTCCCTTTCCCGGCCTGGGCTCTGCAGCTTTGCAGATCCCACCCAGTGCACAAAAAGGGCCTACCGGGGAAAGCTGTGTTCGTTTTAGTAAAAGCAGAATTGGGGAAGGTGGTGGGCTTGGGGGGCAGGGGTAAAGACAGAACTGAAGGGGTGGGCTCTTCACTACAGTGATGTACCTGGACCTGAAACCTAATCCGATAAAGCCGGATCTGGCAAAACGATTGTAGCCAGGTTGAGTTAACACCCAGTGTCTAGAGGGGGCGGGGAGCTCCAGCAAGCGCGAAAAGTTACACGACGCCCTACTTTAATCTCGCTCCACTAAGCAGCCTACCGCAAACTCCAGGCCTCTCCATTGCAGAGCGGAAAGGCCATCCGTTCATGCATATGCAGGAGGATAAGTTTAGCCCGCAGCCCCCTGTGTTCAGAGCGGCCCCGCGTGGCGCT